TAGAGGAGAGAAGAGATTAGAAAACATAAAAAATGAAGAACATAAGAGATGTGAGATTAGACCAGAAATGTGCGATAAAAATGTAATTGGAAGATAAAATAGTAACATAAAATTGAAACTGAAACTCTAAGAGAAAATCGTTTATAATTGTAAGGCTAAAACATAATAGGTTTGAGTTTTGGGTTAGATGAGAGATAAATAAAGTTTGGATTGTAACATAATACAGTTTAGTTTGGTTTCGTTCGGTTTGTAAAATACAAACCACAAACCAAACTGAATCATGCGGTTTTGTTAAAAATGACATAAACACATCCAATCCAAATGTACAGTCTTTTGCATTTTCGATTTGGTTTGATTTAATTTACAATTTTCTATTTGGTTGGTTCAGATTTAAAAATCCTAATAGTAACAATACATGCGCACATAATATATATACACTCTTTTTTACACAATATATACACCCATTTAAAACTTATATAACTGAACCTTTTATTTATCACTTATTATAAAAAAAATGTAAATAAAAAACTAACAATGAAAAACAATAGTGGTAAAGAAACTATTTCCTTGATCTTAATTTCAGTAATTTTTAAATTTATTTACATATTTTAAGATAATAATCATTTGTTTTAATTTTAATTAAAAATAAATTTATTTATTATAATACTTAAATTAATAGTAGTTTGTGAAATAATAAAATTTAAATAAATTAAAATAGACAAGAAATTAAATAAAAAAAATTTAAAAATTTTGTATCCGTCTTAGGATCTCTTAAGATCATCATAGGATTATTTCAAACTCATTAGTGAAGAAGAGTGCTTAATATGATTAGAACAAGAGACCTTAAAGGATCACACTTTTAAGTTTCAAATCTTCACTAAAATGTTAACTTTTAGTATTATTTTTTTATTTAAATTTTAGAGAGATTCACATGACAAAATGAGTATGCTTTGTCACCCAAATTATACTACTTTGAATGCCATCATGTGAGATTCTTTCTTCTTGTACTTATTTTAAAAGATAAAATATGATATCAAGCATTCAATGCTTATTTATCCAACGTGAAACCGAAAGTAAGAACAAAGATTAATCCAAAACTCTGTATTGGTTTCGCTTCATGACAAATCAGAAAACGGCTCCAGCTCTTTCCTCTTTTGCATCTCAAGTCATCATTAAGCATTCATAAAAAAACAAAAACATAACTCTTAATTAATGATCTACGATCCAGACATGTCTTACATTTCTCTAATTGCATAAATATCGGTTAAATTTTGTTCATGCAAAGAAGGACATTGTAATTCGCCAGTGTGAGACCAATCAAGGTTTATTTTTGGTCCAATTGACAAAGGCTAATGAAGATCTTCTATTAGACATTATCCGTTTATATAGGATCTTCTCACATTTATATCTTAAATGATCAATTTTTTGGTAAATAGGGTGTAGGTTCCTTGACTCTTTGAGAAGATTAAGTATATTTAAATTTTGTGTTCCCTTGTATACGATTGGTCATTCATGACCGTTTAATACGTTTTATTTTACTTACCTGTTTTTTTTATTAGGCCGAGGGTGGGTTATTTTGAAAACGAATATATATTTGGCACAATAAATTATTTAGGATGTATATAGTTCCTCAAGCGTGAGTCTCGAAGGGGCGAAGCGCTTAAGGTCATTGTTGTCTAAGTTCGGGTTCAGGGTGAAGCGCTTAAGGTCATTGTTGTTTAAATCCAGGCTACAACATCCATGATACATCTGACTTGGGATGTCTCTGATGTTATGATCCCGGTTCTTAGGATGTACATAATACAGTTACGAATACTCTATCAACTTTTATAGTCAATAATCTGTGTTATTTTGGAAGATGTTCATGAAGAATCTAGTTCAGATTTCTCTGTGTTCGGGAACTATACGTGTGATACGTCGAAGGGTGAGGCACTTAAGTTATGAGTCTTTTCAAAACATTAACGCATTATCTATGAGGCCCGAAGGAGCAAAGCGCTTAAGGTTCTTTTATGCTTCATCATCCGTGATACATTTGATCCGGGATGTCTTTGATGCTATGATCCCGGTTCTGGGATGTACATTTTTTTCGAGCCTATGTGCTCTTTTTGTAATAATTTGTGGTTTAATTTTTAAATTTAACTTAAAATTCGTTTTGGGGTGTCCAATTTTATGTAACTTGATTTTTAAGTCTCTTAAGATTTGCAATTCTTCAGATGAATTGAGCCCAACCGGATGGTTCATCGACGTTTTATCTGATATTATTGATAGTCTATACGCATAAAGTGAACACGAAGAACCCTTGTAACACCCCCTGTAGAGGTCTCGGGTTTAGTCACTTAATAGTCAAGAAGAACCATAGCGCCCCATGTGGAGATCTTAGATTTTATCACTTAAATATCAAGGAGAACCATATTGCCCCCATGGAGATCCATGGTTTTGTCGCTTAATGGTGAGGAGAACCATATCACTTCCGTAGAGGTCTTAGGTTTTTCCGCTTAATGTCGAGGAGAACCATAAGGCCCCCTGTGGAGGTCTTGGGTTTTGTCGCTTATTGTCGAGGAAAACCATAGCGCCCCCATGGAAGTCTTGGGTGTTACCGCTTATTGTCAAGGAGAACCATAGCACCCCCCATGGAAGTCTTGGGTTTTGTCGCTTAATATCGAGGAGAACTATAACGTCTTCGTGGAGGTCTTGGATTAAATCACAGAGAGCTATTTAGGTTCGCATGCTGCTCATATGGAAGTCTTAGGTTAGATCACAGAGAGTCGGCCAGGTTCATGCTTGTAAGCCCCTACGAAATATTTCTTGTGCGATTTTATTGCAACTTGGACCGTCCCACTTCAGTTCTAGCTTTCCTTTTATTGCAAATATATGTACAAGTTAGAAAGAGAAGTGTTGTCTCTGCCCACGCAGGGGAAATGAGTGATGTTCATTATTCAACATGAATTTTTAAAGGAGTTACAAACGGCTGAGACATTAGCTCGTCTTATCCAACAATAAATTAAAACATAAATTTTCATTGTCCTGCTTATTGGTTTTGCCAGCGGTAGCGCTTGATAATTGCATGTTTCTAAGACTAATTTTGTCCACCAGAATTGATTTGTGGGCAATTTGTTAACAATTTGCATGACAACTCAGTTACTTTTTCCTAACTTAACCTCCTTGTTAGGAAAATCATATCCACGCTATGTTTATAACATCTATCGTATAGCATCTATCGTATTTCTACAAGATATGTCAACTATGTTTATAGCATCTATCGTATTTCTATTCTTGAAAAACAAAGATAGTACTTGTGATTTAGGGTCTTCCTAGTAAAATTAGTCTAATGTCTTATTAGAATTTATGGTTTCATTCTTATTTGTTTATTTATTTATTTATTTATTTATTTATTTATATTTAAAGAGAGAATATGGCGAAAAATAAAATTATAAAACAAAACTTTTTTTTTATTTTACACGTGTTTACACAATAAAATAAAAAAAAGGCAGAATTAATGTCCACTTGGACATCAATAAATATGATACTAATAAAAAAATGTACATGTTTTTTTCTAAAATTAGAGTGTTATAGTGCAGAAAAATACTTGTATAGAAATGTACCAAAAAAAATTCTTGAATGAAAATAACCATATAACACATAATTATACACACAGTTAATTATAATATTTTTATTAATTAAAAATAAAAATAATTTTTTTTTACATCCTTCATATCACAACCACCCTAGAATTTTAATTAAAAAAAGAAATTAAATATTAAATAAATTTTAAATTTTAAAAATATGAATTTAAATATGTTTTCATGTAAATATTTCTAAAGTACTTTTACGTAGAGGTGACAATTGAATCCATTAAAGCAAAATTCATTCAATCCATCTATCAAAAAATCGATCCAATCCATCCAACACACAAAAAATAAGTTAATGGATTGGATTAAATTCATCCATTTGTATGTATGGATGAATTCAATCCATCCAACATATTTTAAGGATTCAATTGATTATTTTTATTTTCGTTAAATTTATTTTTTTAAAAATAGATTTTTTTAAAATAATTAAAAAACTATAATTTTTTTTTTCTGAAAAAAAAGATCTGTTTTTTTTTCAGAATAAAAAACTGATTTGTTTTTCGTAAAAAAAAACCGACTTTTTTTTTTTGAAAAAAAATTCGATATTTTTCAAAAATTAAAATATAAATTTTTTTTTGAAAATACAAAAAATTCAAAATGAATTTTTCAAAACTAAAATAAAATCAATTTTTTAAAAATGAAAAAATATATTTATTTTTACGAAATAAAAAAAAAGTTGGATGGATGGATATCCATCCATTAAAAATATGTTAATTGATAGATTGAATGAATTTTATTCCGAATGAATTGATTGAATAATTTTAAGAAAATTTTAGTGAATTGTTAATGGACTAATAGATTGTTTTAATCCATCCATTAACAATCCAATCCATATCCATCTCATCCATTCATTTTACCACCCCTAGTATTACGAATAAACAATCATAATTATTTTATTAATTACAAAATTTTAAAAAAAATTCTCTCTCTTTCATTATCAGCATCACTTCATAATTCCAATTAAAATAAAATTTAAATTTAAAATTTTATGAGTTGTTTCTAAAAATATGGCTATTGTTGTGTTATTATGCATTTATTTCTCTATATTGTTTTCTTAATTTTCCTCTATAAAGTCAAGAGAAATCTCCCTTTCACCACTTAACCTAATCGCTTCTCGCAACACCACCGGAATATTCATCTCCGCCGTTTGCCACCTTCAGGTTCGGTTAAACTCTCTCTCCTAATACCATTTTCGTTGCATTTGCTTTGATTGAATGAAATTGTTGATTAACGCTATAATCCCTAGATAGCGTTTGCTTTCACATTAAGAATTTTGTGACAAGTCTTTGACTTACATTGTTTAACTTCCTCCAAGAATTTTCCTTTCAGAGTCTAATTTGACAAAGAAAATTCCTTTTTAGTTTAAATTCAATGGATACCAACAACAATCAAGATGTTTGGAGAGCTCAATTGCACCCTGGAACACGCGAAGGAATTGTCAACCAAATGTAAGCATTACTCTTACTACGTCCCTCGATTTTGAATACCTATATTCTAAAGAACATGTCAAGATGATTTCAATGATATTTTTCTTACTTTTCCTAGGTTTGTAACTAAAAACAAAATGGATTAAAGAAAGTTTTAGATCAATTTCTGTATATAATTTGAATCGGAATTAAACCATTGTTTTTCATTTTTGTAGAATGAACATGTTAAAAAGACATCGTCCTGTTTGGGATCAAGAGGGATTGCATCAGCTTCAGAAGATTGTCCAAATGTTTGAAGAGAAGAATTTTATTGCTGCAACAAGCGAGGTATATTTTTAATTAGAGACTGCATAATTATCAAATTATAGTTTCTAATAGATTGAAAATTTACTGTGTGATTCTCCAATTTCAGTCTGATTATCTAAGGAAAATAACTATCAAGATGTTTGTAATGGAGACAAAATCCCCAGGCTGTATGGTCAACAGTATAAGATCATCTTTGGACAATATAACATCATCTTTGGAGATGCTTACACTGGAGACTAAACCCCATGGCACTATGGCCAACAATATGACATTGAATTAAGTTGGGCATTGAAGAGCTTTGCCACAGTGCTCTTATTCTGAAAGTGAAAGTATCAGTCTCTGTATTGTTTCAGCATTAGCTGCTTCTCATATATCACTTTAGTTCAAAATTAAGCAATTTAGTTCAAAATTGATACAATTAATAATGCACAATAGATTACCACTTTATATATGGTACCAAGATCACTTAAATATGATACGATTACATTCATATATGGTGCAAAGCAACCATTAAATTTTTTTTTTAAAAGAGATTTTAATTATTTTGAAATGTGGAGTTAAGAAAATTAGGAATGAATGTCTATATTTATTGAGTAAAGTTAATTGATTATTTTCACGATAGCGAAAAGTAAATGTTGGAGGTTTGGTCTGAATGAAAGAAACAAATATGCACAATTATTGACATGTCGAAAACTAAGAAAATCAAAATTAAGAAAACAATCCTACAATGTCGAGTGTAGTACAATCACTGGCATGTCGAAAACTGTCGATGATGTTTACATACTTAATTTGTCTAACACTGTCACAAATGTTTTTAAATAATTTTACACTTGAATCATACAGTGTGCAGGAAGATTTTCAGAGTACAAGTAATTATATCTCTCCATATAATAAGATTGATTCAAAGATGTTCCCATCTTAGATTTAGTAATCATGATTTGAAGAATGACAATTACTTCACCATGGTCTTTCATATCGAATAATAGAGGACCCATGTTTTAAATAACGGGAGAACATGCTAGTCAAATAAATTCAGATTACCTAGCATTCACTTCAATCCATGTCCCAATCACAATATTAAAGTTTTGTAGGAATGGCCGAATAAAAATACCAAATTTAAAAACTCTCTACACCTCTCAACTACTACATACACCAAACCAAACGTGTGGTAGGTTCCCACAAAGATTCCACATTTGATTGACCTTGTCCACAAATAATTCTCATCACATTTTGGAAGAAATTCATGTTACTTTCTACACCTCTCTTTGCTTTTGGTTTAGTCTCTCTCACTCCCAACCAATACGTCAGAAACTATATAGAATGTGTAACTTATTATTCACCATGCAATCTTATAATTTTTATATTCACTCTGTAGATCTAGATTCTCTGCTTTCATAATACTATACTATATATTTACTACATGTCAAGTGGAACAAAATATCATATTTGACACAAGTATTTCTTAACTCAGTAGCAGCTATGGATTGGTTTTCATGGCTTTCAAAAACAAACTTTGATCCATCTCTTATATACGAGTATGGACTTATCTTAGCTCAAAACGAGCTTGAAGAAGAAGACATGTTTTACTTCAACCATGAGTTTCTCCAAAGCATGGGAACCTCTATAGCCAAGCACAGACTAGAAATTCTCAAACTTACTATAAAAGACAAGAGAAAGTTCCCACACACAGTTGCAAAGTTTGTGACACAAGTATTTCTTAACTCAAAAAGAAAATTGATCGGTAGGAGATTTTTTTATAGAAGAAAGAATTTTGTATTTATTCTTGATACAAAAGTGTAGAATTACATCTTTATTTATAATACTCTAAGGAGAACTCTAGACACACTAATTCTAGAGAGTTTTCAACTCTAAAAATTCCAAGAGCATTCTAAAAAAATATTATAACCCTAAGAAATATCTAAACACTCCAAATATTACAAGAGTTTTCTAAAAACATTAATTAAAATTACATAAGCCTAAAATAACTCAGCCCAAAAATTCAAATAATATATTTAGTCCCAAATCAAGTTTAATCTTTCAACATTTTTCCTTAAACTTGATTTGTGACTCCAAGCATACTCCATAGCTTCACGGAAGTTTCCAACTTGAGTGGTTTGGTGAAAATGTCGGCAACTTGATCTCGAGACATCACATACGTCAACTTCACATCCTTCTTCTCGATAAATTCTCTTATGAAGTGGTAACGGGTGTCGATGTGCTTACTTCTTTCATAAAATACATAATTCTTTGCCAAAGCATGTGTTGGTTTATTGTCAACACATATTTCCGTAGGATCTTCTTATGGCATTTTTAACTCTTTCAACAAGTTTCTTAGCCAAATTGCATGGCAAACACATATCGTAGCGGTAACATATCTGGCTTTACTAGTTGACAGTGTGACGATAGGTTTGACATCCAAGTGAAAGCAGTATCTCCCATAAATAACACAAAACCAGTAGTGCTCTTTCTATCGTCTAAGTCTCTACTCCAATCGTTATCACTATAGCCAACAATATCATAATTTTTAGAAGAGTAATAGTGCAAGCCAAAGTTTGTTGTACCTTTGATGTATCGAAGGATTCTCTTTGCCGCCTTGAAGTGAGTTGTTGTTGGAGCTTCCATGTAGCGACTTACGACTCCTACAACATAGAGAACATTTGGCCTTGTACTTGTTAAGTAACGTAGACTTCCAACCAAACTTTTGTAAAGATTTGGATCCATAATCTCTCCATTTTCATGCTTACTCAACTTGCTGCCACATTCCATCAGGGTGCCAACCGGATTGACATCATCCATTTTGAGCTTCTTAAGGACTTCTTTTGCATAGTCTTCTTGGGTGATAAAAATTCATTTGTATTCTTGCTTTACTTCAATGCCAAGATAATATGCCATGAGCCCTATATCCGTCATCTCAAATTCATTTGACATATCTTTCTTGAACTCTTCGAACATGCTTAGATTGTTCCTAGTGAAGATCAAGTCATCAACATATAAGCATACAATCAAAGTATCTCCACTTTGCGCTTTAATATAGAATGCATGCTCATATGGACACTTGATGAAGTTCTTGTCTCGAAAGTACTTGTCGATTCGAACATTCCAAGCTCTCGGTGCTTGCTTGAGTTCGTACAACGCCTTTTGAACTTCAAGACTTTTTCTTCTTACCCTTTTACTTCATATCCCTGTGGTTGCTCAATATAAACTTCTTCTTTAAGAAAACCATTCAAGAAGGCTGACTTGACATCCATTTGATAGATCTTCCATTCATTTTGGGCTGCCAAAGAAATGATCAGTCTAATAGTTTCAAGACGAGCAACGGGGGCAAATACCTCATCATAGTTAATTCCTTGTCTTTGACTATAGCCTTTTGCCACCAATCTTGCTTTGTATCTTTCCACGTCTCCTTTTTCATTCTTCTTTGCCTTGTATATCCATTTTACTCTGATTGCTTTGTGTCCTCGTGGAAGTGTAGTAAGTTCCAACATATCATTCTTCGTGATTGACTTTATTTCTTCATCCATGACGTCTCTCCACTTTACGTTTTCAACAGCTTCTTGATAGCTTAGAGGCTCGTAATGACCAAAAAGACAAAAGAGGTTAATGCCATTTTGGTTTTCGGTTACCTCATAAAGCTCTTCAATGCTACTTAGTCGTGGTTTCCTCTCACTTGAGCTTATTTCATCCAACCTTGGTGTCGGTGAGGCGGTGGTGTAATATGTTCCTTTATCATTGGTTGTTCCATTTCATCATCTTTTTCTTCAAAATAAGGAAGAAAATCATAACTGTCTTCTTGAACTCCATGTCATGACTTATGAAAATATTTCCACTATTTGGATTATAGAGCTTGTACCCTTTGGAGCTTGAGTCGTAACCCACGAATATATACTTCTCACTTTTATCATCGAGTTTTATTCTTCTTTCATCTGGAACATGGGTATAGGCAATGGTTCCAAACACTTTGAGGTGAGAGATCCCTGGCTTCCTTCCACTCCATGCTTCTTGTGGTGTCTTCTCATGCACACTTCTTGTTGGGGAACGGTTTGTCAGGTAAATCGTACATGCCACTGCTTCGGCCCAAAACTCTTTCAGCATCTTCTTACTCTTAAGCATACTTCGCACCATATTAAGTAGGGTCCGGTTCTTTCTCTCCGTTACTCCATTTTGTTGTGGTGATCTTGACACTGTTAGTGGGCGGCGAATTCCATGGTCTTCACAATATTTGTTGAACTCATTTAAAGTAAACTCTTCTCCTCGGTCAGATCTCATGGCCTTAATGGAAAGACCACTTTCTTTCTCCACAAGGGTTTTGAACTTCTTAAAGTTTTCAAACACTTCCGACTTCTCCTTCAAGAAATAAACCCACGTTTTTCTAGAATAATCATCAATAAAGAGGAGAAATTATTTACTCTTACCAAAAGAGTTTGGATTGATTGGTCCATAGACATCGGTGTGTATAAGCTCTAGCGATTTTATCGCTCTTGACGTTGATTCCTTTGGAAAGATTTTTCGAAATTGCTTCCCAACTAGACATCCTTCACATAGTTGGTTTGGGTGGTTTATATTAGGCAAGCCTCTTACCATCTCCTTCTTTGACAAACATTCTAGACTGCCGAATTTGAGGTGTCCAAATCATAGATGCCATAGCCACGAAGAGTCGTATAGAAAGCCTTGAGACACTTTGCCACATCATTTTGAATGTTCAAGAGGAACATTATATTCTTTGACATAGGTGTCGCATCACTGTGGAAAAAAAAAAGGGAGCCGGAAAACTAGACAGAAGAGTCGCCACCGAACGTTATTTATCCCAAAGAGAGGGAAAGGAAATGATCGAAGAAAACCTAAGAGAAAGGGAAAGACAAGGTCATCGTAACCAAATCTTGGGTTCGGGAGTCGGTTACGCAAGGGGAAGGTATGAGCACCCCTCACGTCCGTTGTATTCAACGGGATCCATGCTTGTTGTCTAATCTATGGGTGAAAATTATCTAATGCTACTGCTAAACGGGGGTGAAGAGAAAGAACAGACTCGATAGGACATCGCCGCCCTATGCCTACGTATTCCCTCGTGCAATAGGAAAGTCAGAGTCAATGTAGTTCGGGAAACTACGGGTGATGGGGGGAAGGTTGCTCGCCAAGACATCGCCGTCTTGTGCCAACGTATCCTCATCTGGTATGAGAAATCAGAGCAAACGTAGTTCGGGAAACTATGAGACAAAGGTCGGTTAAGTGCTTTGACGAGTGGCGTTAAATCTCCATTCCAGCAGTTAGGGACGATGCCTATTT